CCACTTTCTATTTTATATAGCCGTGTAAATTAACATACGGAGAAAGGAAATTAGATGTTAGCCCACCCATAACTGAACATCATTGCTGTTGCTACCGACTAGCTAAAGTTTTATAGTTGAGCTTCAATGTGAGACACACTGATTTCGAATCAAGCGCTATCCACCAACTATGAAGTGGTTTTACTAAAGATTTTCCAAATTAACTTGTTCTAGAAATGCAGTTAGTCCAGTTGAACCGTGAATGAGATACTACTGACAAATAAGGTAAAATATATATAGCAAGGTGAACAAAAGGACAGTACAATTAGCGCATAATAGTACGTACGCGGTATTATGTACTACCTATTTGACGGTTCAAGTAAAATCCCTCCCAGATTCTGTAGACAACAATAACTTATCCTTCCCGCTTCGAACTTATTTCTTGTATAGATTGTACAGATGTTTCGCGGATATTTCCGTATTATAAATCACTGGGCTGTGAAAGGCAAAAGATAAATTCACTGCTTACATATAGACCTGGATCTTTGAAAACCGGGTTAGCAAAAAAATGTCATTCTACGCAATCAGGGACACTGATAACAATATCCACAACCACACATATAATCACGTTTTACGCAGGCAAAATGTCATCAAATAACTCGAAAAAACCTTGCCTCTTGGAACCTGATAAGCACCTCTACACTTTTCTCTTAAACTCGTCTTATCCAAGTTCCCGGAGTGTAAAGTCACATTGCGCTGTCGGCAGACAAAGTCAAATTTCCCTTGCAATTTTGCTTTCTCCTAATAGATTTGACTCCTACAACCCTGCCGCTTCCCGAGGCCAAAGACTTATTGATCACCCTAGAAAAGCGAACAATATCGTACGTTTCTGTCTCAGGGCGGATCAAATTGATTGACCCGTTTAGCCAAATGAAACAGTATACACTGTGTATATTGTTGGCAATGCAGAGTCTGAGCTCTCTCTTGTGAAAACGTAACACCAAGAGCCATAGCGTCCCAGGAGTTAGACTTCCGTTTAGTTACAACCTCTAACAATAACTTTAGTGAAATTCACATATCCTGGCCAACGCCCTAGGATTCCCTCTCTGTCCCATTATGGCTCTTGGTAAGACTACATTGTTAAACAGTAGAAGTGGTCATCAACAGCACTTGAAAAAGGCCACAAAGAAATAGTACCAGAAGACCAAAACAACAAATGAAATTAGTTACTATAAATAATCAGTGGCAGATCCAAACCTTCAGAAAAGGAGGGGTCCTGGTCATCCAGACCCTGAGATAAGAAGAAGGCCCGGTATTCAATTTTTTTTTTTGGCCTCTGGACCCTTTGCTGTAGAAATAAAGGAGGGGCCGGGGCCCCCTGGCCCCTCTCCTGGTTCCGCCACTGTAAAATAATTCAAGACTGTTTAAAAAATTCTTACTTTCAGGTATGTGAAGTTGAAGGATGTCTTGTTGTAAGGAAAAGTGGGGTCTGTGACCCTTGCTCGCCCATCCAACAAGAAAACATCAATGTTTCTTCTGGCAATCTCCTCTTTGTACGATTCCTCCTGTATGGACCGGAAAAAAATTCCAAGTTTTCCACATAAAATTCATGTTTTTTTTGTGGTTTTCGTTTGGTTTTCAAAGAATATCCCTGTTTGGAAAAAGTACCTGTTTTCCAAATTTGGTTTTCTCTTTTTCCTTCTGTGGAACTACTTTTCTAAAGATGGAAAACGTATTTCGATTGAGACAATAATAACGATTACCATACTTGGACTTCCACAAAACTATACATGGAATAGATTTATCCAAAAATGGAAATAGTAGGCATCCAACAATGGACTTTCACATTTTCAAGAATTGAAGGTAAAATGTCACGTGTGGAAATAAAGTTTTCCATACTTGGTTTACCAGTCATTACATAAATGGAATTTTGTTTTCCCAAAGTTGGTAAAATTTATATGTTCCCTGATCCTCTCTTTAGAAAATTGAAATACCCATTTAACTTGTTAAAAAAGTTCAAAAATAAAATGTAACGAATCTTCCAATTGAACTGTTATTTTAATCAAGTTCAATCTAAAATGCTTATATCTTTCTTTCCACGTAAGACAGACAATTTGTTTAACGTGAAAAACTGAGAACAGGAACACCAACTTAATGCACCTAATTCATGTAAATTAATGCTCTCTAATTTATACATGTACTAATAGTTATATTGATATGCAGTATCCACCATTAATGCAAACATAACATAACATAACATAAAACTTTATTAATGTGTCTTGGAATGTCTAGCCGATGGAGTTAAGAACCTCTCTACTAATTGGGGACACCTAACAATATAATATAGTTACCTAACAATATAATATAGTTAAAAACCTACTAACTATCAACTAATGAAATAATTGATTTAAAAAGATTAAGAATTACAAAGGATGCAATTGGAGCAATTGTCGTCGTCTATCATTACACCTAGATCAAATTTACGAATACAATTTTTGAAACTAAATAATGATGGGAGACTTCTGATTTCGCTTGGTAACTTATTCCACAACTTTGGTCCCTGGTAGGTGAGCGAGTGTTTACCATATTTATTGGTCCTAAATCTGGGAATGGCGAACTCTGCCGTCCTCAAGTTGTAGGGTGAGCAATGCGCGTGAAATAGCTCGGTTATTTTGATGGGGCATAGTTTGTGTTTCACCTTATACATAAGGATAGCAATATCTTGCGTCTTCTGTTCTGAAGAGTCGTTAGGTCACTTTTACCCAGCAATGCTTGGTAGCTTGATTACTTATCTAGGAAAACTGCACGTAGTGCTCTTTCTTGGACCCGTTCAAGCTTTCTCTCTTTGGTAGCACTACAGAAATGCCAAGTCAGGTGGCAATAGGTTAAGCAAGGCAATATGGCTGATCTATACAGAGATAATTTAGCATTGGTAGGGACAAGTTTTTTAAGCCTTAACATTACACCTACCCTTTGACTCGCCTTCTTACATATTTCATTAATGTGAGTGTTAAAATTCAACTGTCCATCCATGGTGACCCCTATCAATTTAAGACGGAAGATTCGATGGTGTTTCCTTGAAAGTGTAATGGAGTGTTACTTTCTGTCTTGTTATGCTTTAAAGTCATAGTTTGATATTTGCTCAGGTTTCCTTGTAGCAGATTGCTAGCGTACCATTCGGAGGCCCTATTGGCATTCCTCATAAGATTGGTGTCAACCATTTTCAGGTTCCCCGCTGTTTCATTCATTTGATGGTCATCCGCGTATATAGAGAGATGCGAAGTTACTACGTATGTCCAATCGTTTTAATGGGCTAAGGGCCGATCCTTGTGGACAACCCCTATCTGTGCGCTGCCATTCACTTCTGAAAGCTCCCAGTTTCACTCGGTTCAGTCGATTACACAGGTAAGATCGAAGTAGATCACATAGTTCGTCATTAAAACCATACGCTTTTAATTTGCTGATCATTAAGGACGGATTAAGCGAATCAAAAGCCTTACTCAAGTCGGTAGATAAGATTTTAACAATTTGCTGGTTATCACGTGCTGAATTTCCACGCTTCAATAAGACTTATCAATGTTGATAAGACTTATCAATCAATACTAAATTTTCTTACAAAAAATTTTCTCAAACTGAGTAGCCTTAAAAATATCAAAACATACATAAATTCAAACTCTTAAGAGTCAGAACTAAGCCATATCTAAATTACAGAATCGTACTTGTGGCTTGCTATACAAGGCAGTTCTTGGAAATGACTGTTTGATGAATCCAAACAATATGCTATAACTCTATGGTATGCGATAACTCAAGGAAGTTTTGAGGGCAACATTTTTAGCATATGAGAAGGTCTAGGGCTATTAATCGAAAGATACATTTTTTGTGGAGGCACAGGTTTTACAGGCAATTTGTGGCTGTACAAGTTACAAAATGCACTCGTATATAATCAGTTGTGATTGATGCATATTCATGCCAGCTTTGTCGAATGCTAATGCTTTTTACCAGTTGTCAAAATCATGCTTGAAATACAACAGCCATATACTTAAGTCATGTTAACAACATCAACATTATCCTAAAAAACAATAGACCTTTCCATTGATTTTTCAACTTTGACTGGGACCAGTTTGCAAACGTTCAGTAACACAGTTAAGAGGAACAGCTTAAAAAAGATTATTGATTGAATGTGATTTGTTGAAAACTAACACCAATATAGCTCCGCAAAGTTGCCTAATTTTACAGACCTTTTTATGGTTGGGGGTTAGCTTTTTCCCCTCTACCATAAAGGTGCCTGTAAAATTTTGCAACTTTGCAGAGCAGTACATGTACCTTCACTCACTTTTACCATGTTGTATAAAATTGGCAAGTTTCCTCAAGGCCGATACACACGAGGGGTTTTGCTCCATGAGCATGCTTCAGGGGTACGCTCCGGGAGCAAAGCTCCTCTGTGTGTACCAACGATTTCATGGGTATACTTCATCCTCAGGAGCAGAATTTCCACCCCACAAAATGCTCCACGATATTTAACCGGTTAAATATTTGGGAGCAAGCTCCCGGGGCAAATTGAGCAAACTTGAAAACGCTCCCTCGTGGGTAATGACACTTTTTGGGATTAATACGGCAAATGTAACACTTTAACCAATCACATTAGGCAGTATTTCCACCCACAATTCCTTTGGAACCCTTAATCCGTGCTTCAACATGGCGTCCACTGAAAGTGAATGTGTAGAAGTTGATGAGCCGGAAATAGAGCAAGTAGATGGACGGAAGAACGAGGAAACTACTTGGAGTGTGACCAATTCTCGAATTGTGATTGACTGTTACAAAGACAACGCGGTTTTGTATGATAAAAGCCACAAAGACTACGGAAGGAAAGCGGTAACGAAGAAAGTGTTTGCACCAGTACTGGCTAAAATGCCTGATAAGACCATTAGTGAACCACCGGGTGAACTCCTCTCGCATACACCTGGCATCATTTGAGTAGTGACTGCCTTTCACGGTTGTCTCTCCATGAACCTGGGATAATTTCACCGGTCCTCTCTGTCAATCAAGGTTGGAGGACAATACACATTTCTGGAACTTGCAACAGCTCTTAACCAGTTGTGCAAACTCAAAGCAGCCAATGTTATTATCTTGACTTTGGAAGGATGGAGTAAGAAGGGAACTTTAAAACATCTCAACCTATTCACAAGGATCCCCAAAAGATTTTCAGATATTCTTCTTCCTCTAGATATTCTATAATTAGCTACTCTTTGTTCAACGGAAAGGTTCCTGTTGGGATAAGGTTTTAACACATGCTCTGATAAAGGAAATGCTTCATCGCCAGTAAGCACGAATGGTACAGGCTTGGAAGAACCTGGTAACGGCTCATCAGCTGGTATATTTAACGGATTGTCTGGATTTTCAAGTTCCATTTTTAATGAGCATCTACTCCAAGCATGTTCGTCTGGATTACGTCCATATGTGCCTACATCAACATAAAGGCACTCATAATCGGGACCTGCGACTACAAGTGTTATGATGCTTTCATTACCTTTATAATCGTGGAAATGTGAGCCTGCATGAGCAGGCTTTTGGAGAACAATTCGTTTTCCATCGATAGCTCCTAAATTGTTGGGTATATTCCATCTTGAATGAAAAAGGTCGGCACTTTCTTTCCACTTGGCTGTCTCATTGGGGGTCTGAAGAAATTCTGTCTTTAAAGCATGATAAATTGCGTCACAAACCTCTATAATGATTTCTCCGACCGTTGCTTTACCAATTCGGAACTGAAAAGATAGTGACTGAAATGACTCTCCGGTTCCTAGAAAACGAAGCGTAAGTGCCAGACACTCACGTGAAGAAATCGCCATTCTCATTGGCGTATCTTGTTTCCTTATACTTTCACTTAACATATCTGCCAATTGTGAGAATGTTGCGAATGGCATTCTCATGTATTCAGAAAATCCGTCTGAATCTTCCACGGACAGTTCTCGAAAAATAGTATAAAAAGCCCCTTTCTCCTGTCTTCTCAGAAGCCAAAAGTGAGCCCATGTTTTCCTGGCAACTTTTTTACTAACTGATGAGTCATCTTCAAGCATCATCATCATCAAAAGAATCAACTTTTTCTGTTTTGATCTGGACCACAAGGAAGTCGCCATGTTTAGTTTTAAACTAGTTTAAACCCTCATCTAGTGAATATCAGCTATCCCACACCAAGTTTCTTTCGTTTGCTCCCTCGTATGTACCATAACATGGAGCAAGCTCCTGCAGTATGACCCCTCGTGTGTACAGGCCATGCAACATGAGCCTGGAGCATGCTCCGGGAGCAAAACCCCTTGTGTGTATCGGCCTTAATGTTAAGGTGCTCATTCAGCGATGTCAGAAATGGATCTTTATTGAAACTTGAAAAAAAACCATGAAAGGGTCTATTTTCTTTTTGATCATTAACTGGCAATCTCAAATGTCCAACAACTAGGGTCTTCGTTATAAAGTCAAAGAGATAAATAATGATTTGGTTACCACTTTTGTGGCTCATTAATAATTAGGTATCAAGCGCATCCACAGTACAATGTCTTTAAAAAAGCAATGTCTTCTCTTGTTAGGTTTGCCAAATCTGAACCTTAGTGAACTTAGACAACAAGACCAAAGAGGAAAGAGGACGGCAAACACTGTGTGACAAGCGTGACAATAATTTTGTTTGAAAAAACTTTGCCTCAAACCTTATCTTCCTTTAAACAGATCTTTTTGTAGAAGACCAAAAATCATTAATCTTTAGTGAGGATCACGACAGAACATACAATTAATAGCCATGTCACATTGGTCACACACAAGCATTTTGTGGTCCTGTTGCGTAAATTCACTCTTCTCTGAATGATACGTACTTGTGGCTGTAGAAGGCAGGTGGTAGAGCTCTGATATACGTATTTTTATCCTGACCACTCGAAAGAGTTAGCGAAGCAATAGCCTGTGTTTTATGCCAAAATGTAACAATCACCGGTGATCAATAGCACAGACCTGATTACAATGTCTTTAAAATGACAAGACAATGTCTTCTCTCGTTAGGTTTGCCAGATCTGAACCTTCTCTAAATGATACATACTTGTGTCTACAGAAGGCAGATGTTAGAGCTCTGATATAAGTATTTTTATCCTGACCACTCAAAAGAGTTAGAGAAGCAATAGCCTGTATTTCACACAAAAATGCTACAATCACCGGTGATCAATAGCACAGACCTGATTACAATGTCTTTAAAATGACAATGTCTTCTCTTGTTAGGTTTGCCAGATCTGAAACTTCTTTGAAAGATACATACTTGTGTCTGTAGAGGGCAGATGCTAGTGCTCTTATATACGTATTTTTATCCTGACCTCTCAAGAGAGTTAGCAAAAACAGCTTTTTCAGGGGCTTCAGATGTTTGGCTAGTTGGACATCCCGGATGTTGTTCTGTTTTAGCACGGACAGGATAATGACCTCACAGCTTGATTGGGTCAAAGCTAAGAGAAAGGATAAAGCAGAATCAAGGTTTTATCTAGAAGGGTGTCCGGCCATCCTGTGGACAGCCATTTTTTGAAGAAATACAAGGAAAATTCACTGAATCTCATAATTCTATGGGAAAACACTGCCAGTTTTCAATCTCTGGCTAAAAGCATGTACCGAATTAAGTAATCTTGGCCCTTTAAGAACTTATAACATTAATCAAGGGAATAATAATAGTAACAATAATAATTCATTATTAACAGTGCACCTCAACAATCACCATAACAGGTACATCTATTACAGTTAGAGCACCTAAAATGTCATAAGGGATGTAACTTGTAGCACCTGTTACATCTGAACTCACTTGATGTTGTGGGTGATCAAAGTGGAAGAGCTAGAGAAGAAACTATAAATGCTTTGAGAGAAGTTAAGGGTGAAACTTTAGGTGCAACTCTGAGCCTGTACGTCAATAAATAAAATACTAATAAAATACTAACAATACCAATGAAACTGTTGCAGTAATAAAACAAATGGTGTTATTTGCATTTGCTTTTACTTACAGGGGTGAAAATAATCTGTATATTCCGGTCTCTTTTTTTCCACAGCACTTTGAGTACTTGGGGGGAGTCATTAGAGCTTGACTCGACACTCTCTGTATCCCCACCACTGTCACCTGCAGATGGTAGTTTACAAATGTGACCCTCCACGTGATTTCAGGGACAAAGGTGATGACACGCTCACAACACGCTAACACAACACGCTTAGTGTGTCCAAAGACGCACTTTATGCACATATTTAATTACTGAAACAATCAATGACACACAATGTTTTGTTTCGGTTTATTTAGCACGCTAATCCTTTGTTTTAGTCAAGTGTGATCGATGACACACTTAGTGTGCAAAGTTGACACAGATTAACACGCTGAAGTAAAACAAAACATACCTTGAAAAATATAACTCTCGTACAAATTTAGCCTTTTATTGGATAGCCTCTATGCCAACTTCTAGTGACCAAACAACAAAATTCCCTGCTCATTCTGCACTTTTGCAATGAAAAGGTAAAACATTAAATTGATCGTCGGCTCTGGACAAAAAATGTCCGCCGATAAAAAGTAAACAAACAAGCACTTGAAATTCGCTTCTGTGACTTCCGCTGTAGTGCAGATAAAGTTTCTTGTCTAAAAATGATCTCAAATGAATCTACAAGTCTTAGAAAAACCTTCAGCATTAAAATCATGACTGTTTTCCCTTGCTTTTAAAAACGTTAGGTTGCGGTTGTATGTAATTAGTCTATGAAAAACTTTCGATGTGTATTACAGCAAAAAGTTTCAAATTATGCGTGACGCGTGATAATTACTTGCATCGATATGCAACGATCGAAGCAGTAGCGTTTTCTGTCTTGCTACGAACGGTACACTCGGAGATTTCTCAGATCATTTATTCTGTGTTATCTTTTTTTTTTTTTTGGCCGTACGTTTTGCAGCAATTTTTGAAATTATCCAATCACAAAAACGTTAAAGTTTTAGAAAAAGATTTTCAGCGGCTGTACTCGTGATCTTTTAATCCTTCACACATGACTCACGCAAATACGTACCTTCACACGCTATGCTCCAAAAATAAAAACACTTTCTACACTTCAAAAGATAGACTTAATAATAATTATAATTTTCTAGCTTAAGTTTTATGATTTATCAACAACTTCCAGGTTATGTTGACGTGTTAGCTCATGTGATGCGGTTGAGGCAAGTTGTTCAGTAATTTGATATTTCAACCTTGAACTTGAAGGTACTCTAAAAGAAAGCTAAAAGAAATACGTTTGTAATGTTTAGGAAAAACAACAGGCTCCAGATAAACCAAAAATTCAAAGAGTTTGATTTTAAATCCTTGACCCTTTGTAGAAAATGTTACAGCGTTGTTTTTTCCGATCATGAAGCTGACTGATTATTTACCGACAAGAGCTTCGGCTTTCACATCAAGAATGAGTGTACAATGATTGTGTTACAATTATCTTCGCTTCTTGTCCAGTAAGTTTGCGTGCGATGTAGCACACTAAGTTGCACACTTAAGTATGGTGTCTTCTCGCACACTAGCTATTGTTATCTAAGGTTAACACGATTTGCGTGTCAGCCAACTCGCGCTTCATTGTTCTATGATGCACGCTTTATTGTTTTTAGTGTGTTATGTGAGACAAAAGCACAAGCTCATTAAAGTGTGCTCTAGCGAGCTTTGTAAGCGTGTTAAAGTCAATTTCTTTTGTTTTTAAGTGGGAGCGTGTTGTGAGCGTGTTATCACCTTTGTCCCTGAAATCATATGGAGGGTCACAAATGTTACGAACGTGTAACAAGATTTGTAACGAGTGGGACCAGCGACATTCAAATAACAGCAACACGTTTATTATAAACGAATATAATCTACATACACGATCAGAGTGAACACAACTCGCTCTAAGATACGAGTAAATACAGAGTTCAAAGCTTATTGTATCCGCTGGCACAGCCTCCAGTTCAGTTCCTAACATCAACAGATGTAATTGTCCGAAGACAATGTCCATATAAATCCATAAATGAGGGAAAAATCATAACCCAAAGCGGGCAAGCTAAGCATTGCCCCAAAAACTCCTGTCGCCTTCAACCAGCTCATGGGCTCCTCTCTTATGCCCAAATATGGTCAAAGCAGTCAGTGTGCCATATTTGGCAAAACTTACAGATACATGTACATGTAACACTCCCCTTCTTAAAGGAAAAGAAAGTTTTGGTAACACAACTTTCTTTTAGTGTAAAAAGTCTAACATGTGAACATTTTCAAGTTACACTCTAGAGAGGCAGTCAGCAATCAAATTGTCTTTGCCCTTAATGTGTCTTATTTCTAGGTTGTACTCCTGTAACATCAAGCTCCATCTAAGTAACCTCTGATTCTTGTTCTTCAATTTATGCAGAAATACAAGAGGATTGTGATCACTGAAAACAATGACTGGTGCACAAGACGAACTTACATAAACTTCAAAATACTGCAAAGCTAAAACTAAAGCCAAGCACTCTTTTTCAACTGTGGAATAATTTCTCTGACTGGTATTAAATTTCTTAGAAAAATAACAAATAGGATGGTCAACTCCATCCTTGTCTTCTTGTAACAGTACTTCACCGGCAGCAACATCACTTGCATCAACTGCTAACTTGAACTGATGATCAAAGTCTGGTGTTGAAAGGACTGGTGCACTCTTCAGTATAGCTTTAAGTTCCTCAAAGGCTTGTTCACACTTGTCATTCCAGAGAAACTTAGCTTTCTTACTTAGCAACTGTGTGAAAGGCTCAGCTACAGTGGAGAAATTTTGACAAAACTTGCGGTAATAGCCAGCTATGCCCAGAAAGCGCATCAGTTGTTTCCTGGATTATGGTCGAGGAAAATCAGAAATGACCTTGACCTTAGCATCAACAGGTTTGACTTGACCTTGTCCAACCACGTGACCCAAGTATGTCACATGCGCACGTGCAAACTCAGATTTGGCAAGGTTGACTGTGAGCTTTGCCTCAGTCAGTCTTTCAAAGAAACTTCGGATAATTCTCAGATGATCCTCCCAGGTGTCACTATAAATGATAACATCATCGATGTAAGCTTCGCAACCATCAAGACCGGCAATAACATCGTTAATAAGCCGCTGGAATGTGGCTGGCGAGTTTTTCATT